CGCGCGAAAGCAAGGCGGGAGAGAGAGAGGGGGAAGGAAAAACAGTTACGGGGAAAGAGAAAAAGGAGGGAGAAGGGAGGGGAGGCGCGTAAGGGAGCGATGCAGGGGACAGAGAGGAAGAAGTTTTTACATGCACGACGCCGTTAACAAAAAAAGAAAAAGGCACCGAAACAGTTACAGCTTGCTTCTATCTCAATTCAAAAATTGAAATCACCATATCCGCGCACGAAAAAAAAACGACGCGGGAAAAAAATCCTACGCCTATTCGTATTTACGCAAAATTCCGAGAGTTTTCCCCGACGCGCCCAATAACATTTACACACCCAAAAAGGACACGTCGAAGTTCCGCTTATCCCGGAGTTCCTAACTACCGAGCCCAATTCCCAGCGCGCTTGCTAAGGCGAGCGCAATTTCCCATGTATTTTCCGACTTTGCAAAAGGAAAAACAGAACTCAGCAGTCAAAAGAGCTCTCAAAAAAAAAAAGGAAAATGCAGCACCCGAAAGCAAGAAATCAAAACGGCGTTTTTCCTGGGGTTGGTAAGATACAAGCAAAAGAAAGGGTACGAAAGATAACACGGGTTCGTGAAGTGGTTCGTYACATGCTGACATTCGACTTCCCCCCCAACCATCTCTTCTCGATTGATGATGTGATTCCGTACTGGGTGGGTGACCGGGAATATAAGACTTACACCGCACACAAACTCAGACCGTGGTGCATGGAATGCAAGGCATACGGCCATCTATGTACAGAACAGGCCTGGGATGCCCGCAGCACCCGGGTAAGAAGGCGAGGATCACAGGGAGACTCACGTGAGACTATGATGCCCAACCTCACGCCCAGCGCAACTTCCTGATCGGAGTGAAATGGGGCCCCGGAAGTGCGAAAAAGGGGTGTGCCAAGGATTTTAGGAAAGTGGGGGTGGAGTTCCAGGTCGGAACTGGGATCTCCGGTGGCAAGCTTCTGGGGCAAGACTGCAGGGAGGTGGTCACGGATCGTGCCTGGGTCTGGTGCTATGTAGATTAGGGTCACTGTGATGCCCAACCTCACGCCCAGTGCGACTTCCTGATCGGAGTGGGATGGGGGCCCGGAAGTGCAAAAAGGGGTGTGCCAAGGATTTCAGGATAGTGGGGGTGGAGTTCCACGTTAGAACTGAAATCTCTTGTAGCAAGCCTTAGGGACAGTTATGCAAGATAGCAAGCGCGATCCGCGTCCGACTTTTATGCCTTGGGGGATGTCATCGCCATCCTCTCGAGTTTCATCGCCGAGGCCGGGCTCGAATTTGGTGAACCGGTGGAACGCTATGTGTGTCGCGTTGCCTAACTAATCACCAACATGGCTCGTGACAAGCCTCCGAGTCGGACGAAGCGGGCCTCAAGCGCAGACTGTGTGCTCGTTATTCGGCCTCTGTCCGGGTTCGTCGAACGAACCTCACGGCTCGGTACTCACTGTCCTGCTGGCACTCGGAGCACGGGTTTCGAGACCAGTAAGGGCGAGCGTGTGCGACGGGGCCGCCGTCAGGCAGTGAAAAGGCAACAGGAGGCCATAGGGAGCGAAGTCAGTTTCAACGATGACGACACCGGGTTCGACGATGACGTGGCTTGTGTGTGAGCTAGGGAATTGGGAGCGAAAAGGGATCGCGCTTAAGGCCCGTTCAATGTCACACTCACAAACACATTCGCTTCCCGTCCGAAAGGGGAATTTTTGAGGGTTGGGGTGGGGTTGTGCGAGAAGACAGGCGTTTTTCCACTCCCAGTATTCTCGGCACCGTCGGTGTCTCAGGCTTTCCCGATCTGTGCCGTGGAAGGCAGCCCCATCATCCATGCTATCGGGATTTTGTTTCTTAAGACATGGACTCGAGCGAGGGTGTGGTCGACGCGCGTGTAGGCGATGTCCGTTTTGGTCGAGCCTGCATGTATGCGCACAAGACTACGTTGGCGATCAGTTGGAACGGATCGACTTGGTATCCCTTTGGTCGGGAGATCATGCTAGCCCGTGCGCGTGTGAAGAAACAGACATTAGGAAGGCAATCAGCGGGCAATCACACATTTGAATCAGCCATTCACTTTATCCACCAGAGCATACATCAGCCGGGAACGCCGAGTGTTCATTAGATACATCCGTGTGATCCGTCAAAGACAGTGTCAACAATCGGGGGATTGGCCCGCTCGGTAACTTAGTTTCGCAGACGCATTTTCTCAATACTGATGCATCAATCAAACTCGAGGGTCGTGTGAATCTCCTGAAAAGCATAAACAAGAGATCGACATAGGTTTGCGCATCAAGCCAGGTCACCCAGGAAGCCTACATCATCATCACCCAAACTCACCGGGGTGACACATAGATCGTCATCCTCCCCGATCTCACCATAATGCAATTGACAGAAGTAAGGCCTGGGGGAAAATCAGACCAATTACTAAGAAAAACACGGGCCAGGGGTAGTCATGAGTAAAAGAGGATTGACGTCACTTATCAAAATTACATAACTTAGAAAAAGAAGGACACCATCCCATACACAAGATCCGAAGGTTGACATTTCCGTAATATGCATGAGGAGCGCATCCAACCCGAGCACAGAATGGGGAGTTAGAGAGTGATGGAATTTGAGTTAAACTAGTCTTCGAAAGATTGTGCGAGGAGGGTTGAGGGAAGCGAGGGAGTTCATTCCTCACACATCATAAGCAGAAAATCCAAAATGATTCGCAAGAAGATCCAAAACGGCCGTAACAAGATCGGTCACGGTTGACATCAAAATTTATACAAAGGGTTAGAGAAAGACATTATCCCACGCACACATCTCACTCTCTTTCCCTCGACGCTACATCAGCTCCGATTTGGGCAGTCCGTCGCCTCGCACCAACACCGAGCGGTCACCCCACTGAGTCTGAGTACGCAACCCACGTTCGTCCGTGAGTCACATTCCGTTGTGGCCCGCACGTCAACCCCGCCTACCCGACACCAGCTCGTCGGGTCGCCCAACTCACTTCAACTCATCTTCTCACTTACTTGTTAGTCGATCCTCACTGACCGCACGAACTTCCAAATTTTGGGAGAGCAAACTAATCGCGCTTGCAAAATTTATAATGTGCATGTTTGCACGATGAACCCGGGATTATGCCTAAGTGAGGGGAAGGGGAAGAGAAGGAAGGGCCTATGCCTGCATGGCCAAGCYGCGGCGTGGGGGACGCAGCCACACTCCACACATCGATCCGGTCATGCAGTCGCTCAGGCCAATTAAAGTGGAGGACGAGGTATGTACGACAAAGGGGAAGAAGGCGGGGAAACACGGGAGAATCAAGAAGGAGTACAGTTACAATTGCGCCCGCCAAAAATTACAGTTACACGCAGGATTAAGGGCGTGATACCGTCAGAGCCCAGTCCCCACTGCGGTGAGAGGTGCGAGAGCAACAAGAGCGGCGCAACAAGATTTCAGAGCACCTAAATTCCTAGTCTAAATCCTATTTGCAGAAAGAAATTCCGAAAAGAAAGAAAAAAACAATTCTGAGAGCCCGTCATCCGTTGTAAATTTGAAAAACGACATTCTCGCGCGCTAATCGAGCCAAAATTCCCAGCTCTCACAGTAGAACAAGAAAGAAGTTATGGCAACCATTATTTATCGCGCTCGCTAAGGCGTGGTGACTCAATCGTCGCCGCAGGACTTTCCCGGCCCTGATCCCGAAAGCCAAAAAGAAAGAGGCGAGGGTATCCATGCAACTTGTCCAGCCAGCCCCCATCTATGCATTCCACCCGACCAACCAGTCCCCAACCCCGAAAGCCGCTTCGCGCAGAAAGTCGTGCGATTATAGAAAATAGTTTGTCACACATGTGACGCCCAGGGGGTTCCAATCTTGAGCAAGGTCCTACTTGCTCTCTCATCAGGTGTCGACCAGTGATCCAAGGATCGACGTGGAGCTTGCACGTGCCACTTACTCCGAGTGTGAAAGTCATCCGTCATGGCATTCATGCGCTTCACTTCTAAACGTTACCCGCGAAAGGCAATCTAATGACGGGTGGGGGCGGCGAGGGATGGACTTGCGGAAGGGGGGGCATGAAGCGACGGATCTCTTTGTAGCTAGTGGGGGGYGGGACATAGTGGACTGTGCGATGGATACGGGGAAAACGCGGGTGCCGATGCTGGTAAGGGAGAGAGGCGAGGTAATCGGGGTAGAGAGTGCAGAGGGTGCGGCGGATGGCAAAGCGGAAATCCTCATAGTATCTGAAACTTGAAAATCGTAATCGGGGATTCGGGATAGAGAGTGCAGAGGGTGAGGGAGAGAGGAGAGGTAATCGGGGTAAAGAGTACAGAGGGTGGATAAGGATTCTCCTGAAACTTGATAATAGTATCTGTAAGGCCCTAGGAACATCAATCTGAGTGGCATTCAGGAGGTCTTGGGTTCAGTCCCCATTGGCCTCATGTACCTTCCTTTGCATCCTTGGTGCCCACCACCTAGAGATAGCCCGTTGGTCCCCCCAAAGCAGTCTCTGCTGATGTTCATAGGGGGAGGGGTAATCCTGGAGGCACAGCGACTAGCCACTCGGATGATGCTGGGTCCCTCTGCTACCGGCTGTCCCTGGCCGGTGTCCCCCATTTGGGGGTTCCCTGAAGGCAACAAGGCAACAAGGCAACAAGGCCACCCTTGGATGAAAAAAGGCCACCCGGTGTCAGATTAGACACAAGATTGTACTTACCTGGGCTGGTTAGTCCGATGATATTACCTCAAGGGCATCGGACAACCATTGGCTGCCGCTACCAGCAATCACCGCGGGGCTGGTCCTTGGCCTCTACAACCCCTTGGGCTTTGAAAAAAACAAAAAAAAAACAACGTTGTGTGGGGGCCGCCTTGGCGTGCAGGGCGCCCCTGCCCAAACGCAGTTCCACGTGGCTGCACGAACCGCTTCCGTACTGGACGTTTCATCCACTATATGGCTGGGTGCGGGGTTCCCACTGTCTCAGTAGATGTCCGCGCTCTGTACGGCTGCCATATGGCAGCTTGTAGCGAGATCTGAAAGGATCGGGGAAGATTTCACGTCCCCACCGTTTAGTGCCGCCTAAGCTGGGTTCCTCGTTTCCGGCAGTAGATCACAGATAACAAATGTGCAGTAGCGAAGATGGCGTCGTGAGCGGGACATCACTCGGGGTGTACGCAATTCCCAACTACGGGTTTCCCCGTATGCCTATAGGTAGGAGTAGTGGTAGGTAGGTAGTGTGAGGAAAAATTGAGAGAAGAGTATAGTTTTTTATTAAAAAAAAATAAAAAAAAATTATACCAGCAGACCGTTCGTCGAACCACGAGCAAGCACACAAGGGTATGTTATATATATCCCAAGAAGAGTCGGGTGGGTCATCTATTCCATGCAGTACGCTCATTCGGTTTCCAGCGACGGTCGGTGTTGCTGTGCGTGAGCAAACCATCGCCGGCGTAGTCCTTCGTCCCTTCGACCCGTGTCCGGACTCTCTCTCTCTCTCTCTCTCTCTCTCTCTCTC